ACCAGCACTGTGATGCAGTGGGTTAAGCTGCCACTTGAAACACCAGCATCCCATATTAGAGCACTGGTTTGAGTCCCGGCTACTCCACTTTCAAGCAGCTCTCTGCTAATGATCCTGGGAAAGCAGAGGATTATGGTGCAAGTACTTGGGCCCCTGCCATCCCTGTGAGAGACTTGGATGGAGTTCTGGGCTCTTGGCTTTGGCCTGGCCCAGCCCCAGCCTTTGAAGCCATTTGGGTGAGTGAATCAGAAGATGGAAGATCTCTCCCCCTCCCTGCCACTTCTGTCATTCTGCCTTTAAAATAAATACATAAATCTTTGATTTTTTAAGAGCCATTTTTTTTTTAAAGATTTATTTATTTGAAAGTCAGAGTTACATAGAAAAGGAGAGGCAGAGAGAAAGAGGTCTTCCAACCACTAGTTCACTCTCCAACTGGCTGCAACGGCCAGAGCTGAGCTGATCCGAAGTCAGGAGCCAGGAGCTTCTTTTGGGTTTCCCAAGTGGGTACAGGGGCCCACGGACTTGGCCATCTTTCACTGCTTTCCCAGGCCATAGCAGAGAGCTGGATCAGAAGTAGAGCAGCCAGGTCATGAACTGGCGCCCATACGGAATGCCGGCACTGCAGGTGGCGGCTTTATCCGCTACATCACAACCCCTCCCCAAGAGCCTTTATTTTCTCAACAGAAAAACTGATATATGTACATCAGTAGCCATATAAGATGAAATGAGGTGCAGTAGCCAGATGGCCACAGTAGCCACTGCGGACACCTGGCAGGGGAACAGGCACACCTGCCATCTCCCTTTCCTCACTGGTCAAACTTGTAATGAAGGTGGCATTTAAACATTTGTTAAGTCCCTTAGGAGAGAGATTATGCAAAAACCCAACTTTAAAAGAGCAAACCCATAAACAGCAAACCATTACAACTGCTTCTAACGCAATAGTAAGAGTGTCACAGCACCTTCAGACCCACAAAAACCACTGTCTTTCCCCATGTGAATTAAACCTGCTTGTCTGTGGCTCAGAGGGTAGCACCAAGCTCCACATCTTTTCTCTTTAACTGTGGCAGATGCACCACGCACACCCTGTTGTATGGCATCTGTGTCTCATATGCAGGAAGAATCAGCAGGGAGAGAATGGTCCGGGGCTCCCCATGTTTACCGTTTCTTTCTTGTCTGCACAGATCCTACCAGACAGTGCTCTGGGGCTATGCTCTCACCTTCCTAAAATGCATCTGCAATCTTTTAAATAGTCACTTCTGAAAAAGAAGCCATCCCCAGTCCCCCTAGACACCATCATCCACCTGAGCCTGGAAGACCAGCACTGCTCTGAGAAGGGCAAAGGGTATCTGCCATGCTCTCAGCCCCCTTCTCTGTTCAGCTCCCATGGCAGGGCCAGGCTGACCAGGGACAGCAGGGTTTAATCCTGAGAAGGCAGCCACACACTGAGCTTTCCTCCTCCAGGGGTCAGCTCTAGGGCTACACTCTGAATACTGGACAATACAAGGTCAAGGGCCAATGCCCCACCCCTTACAGCCTTGCATGGTGCTGGACAGTCCTGCTCACCAATCTGCCACTTTCAATGTTTGCCACAGCTCTGCATCCAGACAAGTGCAGGGAGAAGCAAGTATGAGGAGTTGGCACTCCACACACACACACACACACACACACACACACACACAAAAGATGAAGACAAAACTAATCTCTGCTCTCAAAGGAAGAAGCTGGGTCCTTGAATGACAAGAAGGCTCAGCAGGAACCTCACATGGATCTGAGATGCTCTGGCCCAAGGTGGTGGACCACCTGAGGGCTCCTGGAGAACTGGGCTAGGGCAACAGGCACCATTATTCACCAGGCATTAACCATCCCGGCCCAAACAGGCAGAGTGGCTCCCCAGGACCACAAAGTGCCTGAGGGCCCCAGTAGGGTCCAAACCACTCCTGACTCAACAGGAGGCAGCTCCTCTCTTGCCTGGTGGCACTGGCTTCCCCTGGGTCTGCAGGCTCTCAACACTGAGTTCAATCCTCCCTCAGGCCCCACCTGCTAAGTCTCAAGCATGCTTGGCATCCCTGAAGACAGGCTGCTCCATTGCAGCTGTGCCAACCACCTGCCCAGTGGAAGGTGGCCAAGGCCACGCCTCCTCGTGCCACCAGTACTAGATGGTGTAGCTATTGCTTGTCTAGAGCTGGCAGACTGTGCCAGATCCCACAACTGGTGAGACACACAGGTGCCCGGTCCCCAGGCCCTGCAGGAGGAAAAAGAACCATGACTCAAGGTGGGAGTTTCAGACATTTTTAAAAGTGGAAGGACTCTTAAAGGCTCCCTCATGACCCCAACCCCCACTCCGTTGGTGGGAAGGGAAGTGGAGCAGTTAGTGACAAGCGTGAACACAGGGCCATTATCTTTCGATTCCAGTGGCTGCCTCTCTGACTATAGGGCCCTGCAAACAAGCTCAGTTCCGCACTCTGGGGATTTTTTTTAGGGCCCTTACCAGGCTTCTTCACGTGTAAGCAGACCTCTGCTCCTACCTGCCCCCTAAAAAGCCCTAGGCCCACCCCAACACCCCTGTCTCCTTGAAGTAAGACATGCCATAGCCACTTAGGACCAGGAAAACCACGCAGCTCAGCTAAGTCCACCTAGTTTGCTTCCCCATCATGCCAAGGAGAGGACTCAGTAGGACCTGGGACAGAAGTAGCCCTCAGTGAGGTTCAAAAGATCAACAACAAAACGAACCAGTGGGCATCCTCCCATATCCCAAATGGGCACCAGTTTGGGTCCCGGCTGCTCCAGCTCCAATTCAGCTTCCTACTACTCCTGGGAAGGCAGTGGAGGACGGCCCAAGTGCTTGGGCCCCTGTACCCAAGTGCAAGATCTGGAAGCTCCTGGCTCCTGGCTTCAACCTGGCCCAGCCCTGGCCCTTGCAGTCATTTGGGGAGTGAACCAGAGAATGGAAGATCTCTCTCTCTCTGTCCCTCTTTATAACTCTGCCTTTCAAATAAACAAAATAAATCTTAAAAAAATTAATATTAAAAAATCTTGATGTGTGAAATAAGAGATGATATTTTCAATGACGATACAAAACTGAACAGGTTAACAAGAGCCTGTACTGGCAGAGGTGAGGACCAGGCACACTGTCCAGGGAGAGGGACTGGGAGCAGCTACTGGATCTGAGGCATGTTCAGCCCCTGTTCCTCTGAGCAGAAATCTTATCCCACTTCACAAAGCGGAGGGAGCAACTTGTCCAAAGCTAGGCTGCCAGTACACGGGGGAACCAGGAGGTGACTAAACCAGGTGAGCAGATGCCCAAAGAGCTCCTACAGCTGCAGCTGCACCCTCTTCCCTGTGCTAGGACCTCAGCCTCCAGACACATGCTGGGTAACTGAGCCAAGATTCCTCGTGCTGCCAAAATGTTTATGTCCCACCAGCAAGGAGCTGGCAACTGAAAGGCCCCACAGTGGAGCCAAGTTAGGTCAGTGACAGTCCCTTATTACAGCGGACACTGCCGGAGAAACACTGAACACAGAAAGGGATTGTGGGGGCTGCCCAGCGCTGGGAGGGCTGGGACTCGCGCAGAGGGAAGAGCACTGCCTGCCTGGGGGAGGGGGGATCGCAGCTGGCAGAGTGCGTGAGCCTCACCACAGGGCACTGCCACCCCTTATCACAGCCCCTCCCTGGAAGGGGGCCACATGTCGACCCAGTACCAGTGGGGCCTGGCTGCGAGAGGACACCAGTGCCTGCTGACAGACAGCATCAATGTCCACAGCCCCACCCACGGGCGATGAGGCCTTCACTGATGCCGGGTTCCCTGCTCTGCCCAGGCGTGAAGCTAAACACCCTCATGGATTAACTCACTCTCTCCTCTCTCCGATCATGAACAGGGGATTCTACAGGTCTCCTGAGGGAGGCAACAGAGGCTCCAAAGGGTCCCGGTCCCTATGGAGTGGGGCTGGCGGCGCTGCACCAAGAGCCAAGAGCTTACTGGGACACAGTCCAGGTAGGAAAGGGAGGCACCTGTAAGAAAGGGACTGGCCACACCAGGCCTTTCCAAATATACCGCTCTTTTATAAGGGGGCAAAGCTGTACCCCCATTTTGCCCAAGAGGAGGCTAAGATTCATGGAGGGTTCCTGCCCACAGCCATCACCAGCATGGGACAGCGCCCGGGTTCAAACCCATCCAGGAAGTAACTTCTCCCTCCAACCTCCAGAGCAGTGCTGGAGAGTTGGGGTGGGGTGGGGGTGGGGGTGGGGTGCGGCAGAGACAGAAACGAAACATTCTCAGGCTGCAGCAGGATTGCCCGGGACCCTCGCTGCCCTCGCTGCCACGGCACCGCCTCTCGGGCTCTCAGGCAGCGCGAGGGAGGGGAGCTATCTCCCCGCCTCTGCCCACAGAGACGACACAGCCACTGAAGTGTCCCTCCAGAAGGGACACAGACGGCACCGCAGGAAAGGCCCAGGAGAAGAGGACGGAAGCAGGCAAGGGAAGTCACGCATTCCAGCCAGCGCGGCGCAACAACAGCGGAGAGGGCCTGAAGACCCCGAACACGCAGCCCGAACCCCGACTCCCAAGACTCACGGGATGCAGCGGCTTCGCCCGGAGAGGGGAAGCGATGCGCCTGATGGTGACAGCAGGGGACACCCAGGCCAGCCACTTCCTAGTGGGTCACCTGCGTCCCTGACCGCAGCATCTGGCCTACCCCCACCCCCCGGACTCGGGCCAGTGACCCAAGCCCAACCCTGCCAGGGAGCCCGGATCCCGAGGCCGCGGCCCGGCCCACTCCCACGCCCCGCCCGAGCCCCGACCCCAGCACCGCAGGCCTGCCCTCCGCACCCCGTGCCGGGCAGGGTGACCTCAGCCGGCCCAGAGCCGGGGAGGACGCCTGCAGGCCCTAGCAGGGGTGAGGGTCCGAGACGGGGTCGCAGGCAGGGTCGCAGACTCAGGCCCGCGCGGCAGGGGTCGCCTGCTCAGACTCGGGTGGGGTGGAGGTCGGGGGGCGGCGACTCACTTCTTTGAGCTGCTCCATCTCGCTGCGGATAGCCTCGTAGTCCACCTCCAGCTCCTCAAACTGCAGCTTTAGCTGGTGCTTCTCCTCCAGTACCGCCAGCCCATACTCGGCCGCCTGGATCTTCTCGCGCGTGGTCTCGGCCAGCTCGTGAGACAGCCGCTTCAGCTCCGCGCGCAGCCACTCGGGCTGCGCCTCCATCACCAGCCGCGCGTACTCCTCCTCCTCCGACGGCGCCGACATGGTGGCCGCGAGCCGGGCCGGCTCCCCCGAGGCCGCCGCAGGCCGGGCCCTCCTCAGCCACCACCGCCGCCGCCGCCGCCGCCGCCGCAGCCGCCCAGCCCCGACGGCCGCCCGCGCCGCCACCGCCCCTCCCCGCGCGGGGAACGCCGGGGACTGCAGTCCGCATCGCCTACATGTCCCGTCGTGCCCAGCGCGCGCCCGACCCCGTCCGTGATTGGTCCGTGCCCCGAGGGGGCGGTCCCTCAGCGCCATTGCCTCCGCCCTGGAGATTGTGAGGACTGCGGTCCCGTCTCGCACCGCCTACCCGGCCCGTCGTGCCTTACGCGCTTTCAGCCCCGGCCGTGATTGGCCCGTGACGCCGCCATCACAGCCGGGTGACAGGGCTGCTTCCGGTGCCCCGGACGGCGCGCACCGAGTCCGGCATCCCAAGATGGGAAAGTGGTGGCGATGTGCTATGGGGGTACGGGAAGATCGAGAGGTCTCAGGACTTGAACCCAGGCTCTGCTTCGTCTTGCGACTCCTTAGCCCTTCAGGATGTGTTCATGGGAATAAAGATGGGTCCATAAGCGCGGTGTCGTTAATGTGCTAGAGTTGCTGCACCTGCGTCCATTTTAGGCTTGACTTCCTTCAAACTGGGGTGTCCATCGCCTTTGAACTAAATAACCGCCCTTCACTCCGATGTGGTTTGTGTGACATAACCTGCTTGTTCCTCATCCCACAGCTGCTAACCACCACAGAACGAAATGATAGGGACAGAGTCATGACAACAAAGACATCCATCGCTCCTGTTTTCTTTAGACACAAGCCCCGAGGCAAAGCCCGAGATGAAGGCACAATCCCACAGCTCCCGCCTCCCCTGCCTCCCCCATAGACCAGTTGGCCTCCCTTTGGCACCTCTCACCTCCGGCATCTGTGAGGAATGATTTCTGTGTTTCGTATGTTTGGATGTCTCACCTGGCGCACACACAAGCACTTAATTACATTCCCCATGCACCACCACCCTTCTAGTCAGGACATCCCTAGAGAGTGGTTATTTTGGCTTACAGGCTCTGAGAGAGTCCTCAAGACCAGATTAGAAAGGAGAAACCATAACAATACAGAGGTCAAGGGCACACAGGGCACTGGCGCTGTTATTCAGTGCCCGGTCCACATCTGCATTGCACCGGAATCCCAGCACTGTATTGTGTATGTGGCTGGGTTCCAGTTGAATTCAGTCAACAGGTCTCGAGTGTTTTCAGACTAGTGGTGTGCACACAGTTGTACATTTCTGACAGGGACCAGCACTGAAGTGTTGCTGAGTTCCCAGCACAGGGGCAGGCACATGATGTCAATGTCATGCCCTTGGTCATCCCCGGCTTTTCCACTGAAATCCACATGATGGGAGAAAGACATTTTGAGACCCTGCAAATATCCTGTTGAAACCGGAGGCTGACCCCCCTAAAAGTCCCTTCGTGGTCGCCATATGATATCCAAATATGGGGTGCCATATGATATCACCGTGTGCTAATTAATAAATTCCCAATATTAATAAGCCTGTGTGGGTTCTTGCATAATATTCAGAAAAGAATTCTGAATACCGGCATAAATGAACGAGGCAGCATGCTAAGTTTTTAAGCCTTTTATTCAGTGAGGGAAATACATAGGAGAGTGAGGGCCCTGTCTAAAAGAGAGAGGAATCTGGATGCACGCTGAGTACCAGGAGCCAGCCACATGGAGGACCATGTAGGCCAGGAAGCATGGGGCTGGTGGCCCGAAGGCCATGCGCCCTGGAGGCACAGGGCAGCACCGGCCCATGCTGGCAAAGGACCAAAGAAAAAGGGCTGGGTCCACCATGTCACAAGCTTTTAACCCACTTTCAAAAGGAGTGCTTAATTAATCTGATTGGCTGGTGGGCACACAGGTGTGGTCAGGTAGGGGCATGAGGTCACATGGGGGCATGGTGAAGGTGTGGTCTTCCAGCTCACAAGCCTGATCAATTTTATTCTATATGCCTGCCTACATCACTGTCACTCCTCAAACCTTGACCCACTGGTTTTAACATTAATTGACACTTCTTGCCTGAATGATTACTAGTTCCTTTTTCTACCAGTCATTCTCCATTTATGAGTTGCCCTCAGTACTGTAAGGACACTCTCCCTTCTCACTCATTCATAAACCTAATGGATACATGGATTCTTATTTTAACTCAATGCAATATTTACAACTCAATATTCTCCTTATTTTTTTAATGCTTAAATATTAGCAGATTTAGCCAGTGGGAACTCCTCCAAGCTGGCCTTATGTCCTCTCAAAGTGTCAGAATTTTTAAATACTTCCTTCCTCTGTGGGGGAAATCAATCCAGAATCATCTTAGACTCTGTGTCCCAAACCTGGAATCAGCCATTTCCCCATAGAACCTTGATTCTTCTCAATGAGTTCATGCTCCATTTGTACAAGGATAATATGCTGTATTTTGACTTGTGAAATTGAAAACAGAATGCTTTAAGATGTCCAGCTGTAGTAGCAGCAAGGTTGCCAACTGGCTTGATTTGCTTGGTGTTGTCCTGAAAGTCCCCATCTTAGGAAACTCCTCAGGCCTGGGCACGCTCTCATGCCAAGTGAGAGAGATCCTAGGGAAAAGAAGGAACACGCCTCATCACGGACTGATGCTCACACTGGCTTGCCCAAGGCCACACAGCCACAGGGGCAGACTCCCGTGGGACAGCTCTGAGGAGGCATGGGAAAGGCCGTGGGACTCTAGTGCAGAGACCGACTATAGTTTTCAACTTGGAGACAGAGCGATGGTTGAAGGGGGCACAGGGAAGGCTTCAGGCACATTCATTTACAGAGGATCTGTCACTACCTTTATAGCTTCCTTTCCATAGGAGAGACAGCGCTGGCCATCAAGGTTAGAATTGTGAGGAGGAGTCTGGGAACCACAATGTGTGTCAGGTCAGGGTGGGGGATCAGGAAAGGCTTCACTGAGGAGGTGACCCCTGAGGGGGACCCAGAATTGACCAGGCCAAGGCTGGGAGAACAGGGGAGTGACAAAGACGAGGGAAGCCAGTGATCCGGGCACAGAGGATGGGTGGGCGCCTCTTGTTGAGCCCTCATCAGTTCCCCAGCATTGTCAGATACTTGACATACATTGTCTTGTTCCATCTTCACAATCCGTTATGAGGAAACAGAGGCCTAGGGCCAAAGCCTTGGTATTGCTCCTGACTTCCTGCCCTTCACCATTCATTCACTTCATCAGCAAAGGATGTGCTGAGCCTGCCACAGGACATGACATGGCATGACAGCCTGGGCCTGCCTCCTCCCTCCTCCAGACCCAGGCCTGCCTCCCCACTCCCTCCAGTGTGTTCTGTCTCTTAGACCTAAGACAGGTCACATCCCCCTCTGCTCAAAACCTGCCAGAGTCGAAGTCAAAATATCACAACCACACTAGAGAGCGCCCCTCCCTGACCGCCCGGCCCCCACTCCCCTTCCCAGCTTGCTTCCCTCTGGTGGGCTCTGTATGTTGTGTGTTTTCTCTTTGATCTATAGGCCTCCCCCCTAGAATGCCATCTCCAGGAAGGCCTTTGATGAGATCAGCATTTCCTGGCCCCACCAGGGACCCCAGCTAGGGGGCTGGCTCAGCCCTGCAGGCCAGACAGCCTCGTGGGCACTGCTCCCTGGATGCATCCCCTCCAGTAGGAGGGCAGGGGACACATCAGATATTGGAAGTGGCTTAGGCAGAGGGGGAAGAGCGGAGAGCAAGTTGTGGTAGGACTTGGGGCTGCCAGGGAACACAGTCAGTGGTCCTATGTAGGACTGGACTGCCTTGCCAGAGGCCTGGGGACAAAAGGGAAGGATGTCCTCCCAGCCATCCCATTCTGCCACTATGAACAAAGAAGTCCCTGAGTCCTCATGCAGCTGCTTCCATTAGGACCTGACCTGCGAGGGCCTGTGCTGGCAGGCTCTGCCCACTCCCTTCCACACAGTTCCCTGAGGAGCACTGGCTGCCCACAGCCTCCTCCTCCTCCTTGGATACTGCTTCCTCTCTACCCTTGGCTGGCCGAGAAGCAAAACCTTCTCCCGTGAGGCAAAGATCCACTCAGGTGTACTTGGCTTGGCACTGTCATGGTGAATGTCCATGCTGTATGATGGTGCTGGGTCTTTGGCCCAGGCACAGTTCACTTGGTAAACTCCTCCTCTGTGGCAGGTCCTGGGGCTCAGACCGTAAGAATGGCAATGCTGAAGACCACAACATACTTACAGAGCTGTAAACCCTAGGTGAAGCCCTTGGGGAGTATTTGCTATCTTTCCTAAGTCTTGCAAGCAAGTTACCAGGTAGGTGCCACTGTTCTCATTTGACAGGTCAGGAAACAGGCAGTCAAGGTCACATGGCTTATGACTAGATAAGCTGGGGATCTGAACCCAAGTCTGTGTGACTCCAAGTCCCAGTTCCCTCCCAGTCACGGTCTTTCTTGGGGAGCAGGACAGAGCCTTGCCCTCAGGGACAAGACATCAACGAATTGCCTTGTTGTCACAGCAAGTGTGCAAGGGACAGCCTGGAGTGGGGAAACGTGGGCTGGGTCTTGAAGGACGATCAGTGGTTTGCCAGGCACAGAAGATTTGCTCTAGAGACACAAAGATGGGGGTCCGATGTGGGGTGAATTCAGGGGAGCCAGGCAGGATAGTGTGTGTGCCTGTGTGTATGCATATTCATTAGGAGGTGAGAAAGGGGAGCTGTTGCCACTGGATTGGGGAATTTCATTTGAATCACTGATTCCCAAACTGGTGTTTGGGGTTTGTGACTGGTTGAGATCCCAGGATACAGGAAGTGGTTGCTAGGACAATTTGGGGTAAAAGAAGTGTTTCAGGGGTCAAGTCCTGAAGAAGACAAGAGGAAGCCGAGCTAGGCTGCGGCTCAGAACAGACTTGCAGCATTGCTGGGAGCTCAGCGCCACGTGGGGCTGTGCCTGTGGATCCTGCGTCTGCTAGTGCCTTTGGTCCTCCACAGGCCCCCGTAGTCCTGAAAATCTCTGACACATCCCTCACACTACACAGGTGGACCTACAGTTTCACACACTTATCGACATCTCAATATCCTAGTTGGGTTTTTCCTCCAAAAATTGATCAATGGAGTAGCATTGAGAGCCCAGAAATTAACATTTTAAATTAGTATTTTGTGGCACACTGATTTCCAACAAATGCCCCCAGGAACACGGGGAGTTCCATCCACAAACAGAGCGAAGTTGGAGCCCCACTGCACAGCAGATTTACATTGGCTCAACATAAAGACTTGATTGTTGGCAGGCGCCGTGGCTCACTTGGCTAATCCTCCGCCTGCAGTGCTGGCACCCTAGGTTCTAGTCCTGGTTGGGGCGCCGGATTCTGTCCCAGTTGCTCCTCTTCCAGTCCAGCTTTCTGCTGTGGCCCGGGAAGGCAGTGGAGGATGGCCCAAGTGCTTGGGCCCTGCACCCGCATGGGAGACCAGGAGGAAGCACCTGGCTTCTGGCTTCAGATCAGTGCAGCGCACCGGCCATAGTGGCCACTTGGGAGGTGAACCAACAGAAGGAAGACCTTTCTCTCTCTCTCTCTATCTCTGCCTATCAAAAAAAAAAAAAGACCTAATTGTTTTACTATTATTATTTTTTTATTTGAAAGTTACACAGAGAGAGGGGGAGACCGAGAGAGAAAGACAGAGAGAGATCTTCCATTTGCTGGTTCACTCCTCACATGGCTGCAACAGGCAGAGCTGAGCCAGGCTGAAGCCAAGAACCAGGATCTTCATTTGGGTCTCCCACACGAGTAGCAGGGGCCCAAACACGTAGGCCATCTTCAGCTGCTTTTACAAGGCTGTTAGGAGGGAGCTGAATTGGAAATGGAGCAGCCAGGACACGAACCGCCACACATATGGGATGCTGGTGTCACAAGTGGTGGCTTTACCTGCTAATTGTTAAAGTGCACACTTTAATATGTATAGAATAATTTATGCATAGGTATAAATCTTTGTGGCCTTGGATTAAGCTAAGATTTCCCAGATATTATGCCAAAACCACACACATACAAGAGACATAGATAAATTAATTTCATCAAATTAAAAACCTGTGCCTCAAAGGACAATAGCACAAGAGAGTGTGAGACAGTCTTTCAGATCACGTATCTGATAAGGGTCTGCCATGCAGAACTTCCTGAGGACAGGGATGCTAGTCCTGAGCTGTGACCCCGGAGCTCCACAGTGACATCCTGCCCCTCTGCTGTCCTCGTGGCGCTGGGGGTCCCCACCTGGGCAGGGCTGGGAGTGAAGGGCTATCTCCTGGGGTCAGGAGGAGGAGGAGGCAGGAGGGTCAGAGAGAAAGAGGAGAGGAGAGGGGAGCAGTGTGTACTAACACTGTACTTGGATACTGACACCACCAGCATTCAGTGCAGGAATTTGTTCAAGCTGCCATAGACTGGGGAGCTTGAGCAACAGACGCTGGAGGCTGGGGCTTGAGCTCAAGGTGCCAGCATGGTCCACGGCTTGGTGAGGGCTCCCTCACTGGCTTGCGGACAGCTGTCTTCTTGCTGCATCCCTCTGTGGGGAGAGCCCTCTGGTGCCTCTCCCTGGTCTTACAAGGCACCAGCCCTGTTAGATGCGGGGTGCCTCCTATGAGCTCATTTAACATTTATCACCTCCTCACAGCTCTAACCTCCAAATACTCACATTAGGGGTTAGAAGCCGGCGGCGGGGTGGGTTGGCAGTCCAGTCCAAAGCAACAACAATCAGCAGGTGGTGCACTTAACCCAATGCCCTGATTTACAAGGGCATGTAACCTCCATAGTCTACGTATCCCCCCACACTACCACCAGTGTCAGGCTACCAATATAGGTTGTACTGAAGGGCACTGGGAAGAGATGGTGCAGAAGCAGCCATTGCATAGTGTTGCCCTTTGAGATGCAGAGACAGAAGTAACCTCAAGAGCGCGAATAAAAGGCAGCACAGACTATGGAGTATGTGGTGGACGGGAGAGAGTGGCACTTGGCCTAGTGGTTAAGATGCCCACATGCCACTTCAGAGCACTTGGGTTCCAGTCCCTGCTCTACAACCAGCTCTGGCTGCCTGCTACCGTGCACCCTGAGGCAGCAGGTGATGGCTCAAGTACTTGAGTCCCTGCCACTCATAGGGGACACCTAGATTGAGTTCCCGGCTCCTGGATTTGGCTAGGCCTAGCCCCAGCCACTGTGGGGATTGGGAAGTGAACTAGAAGACAGGAGAGCTCTTTCTGCCTCTCAAATGAATCAAAAGGGGTGGGGGGGAGGGCATGTTGGTTGTAAACAGAGTTGTGCACTTACAATGCTCTCATTTTACTTAACTTTATATAAATATGTTATTTTATTTATTTATTTGAAAGGTAGAGTGATATATAGAGAGAAAGAGAGAGAGAGAGAGAGAAAGAGAGAGAGAGAGAATTTTCCATGTGTTGGTTTACTCCCCAGATAGGTGCATCAGCTGGGGCTGGGCCATGTCAAAGCCAGGAGTCCAGAGCTCCATCAGGGTCTCCTATGAGGGTGGCAGGGGCCATCCTCTGCTGCCTTCCCACATGCACTGGCAGGGAACCAGTTAGAATCGGAACAGCCAGGAATCAGTACTCTGATATAGGAT